AGCACTGCTAACTGGTACACGCTTAGCTGTGCATATCAAACAAGTCTTGTCTACCATGAACATCAAGGATGTCATCATATGGTCTGACAATGAAGCTGTCTTACAATGGGTACGAAACGACAACTGTCCAACTCCATATGTAAAAAATCGCGTCTCGGAAATTAAAGAAATTTCCGCAGGCTTTCAATTGTTGCATGTACCAACAAAGGATAATCCAGCTGATCTCTTATCAAGAGGTATGACATTTAAACAGTTTGCAAAGGCAGATATTTGGTTTCATGGGCCTCGATGGTTAGTGAATGGTAGTTGGCCTGAACAAAAGCCACACGTCATTACGACACAAACCATAACTACCACCAGGCAGCGAGCTCAAATATCAGTCTTGGATTGTACTCGTTACTCCTCGCTCATCAAATTAATCAATGTAACACAGAACGTGTTTCATTATCTCAGGAAAAAAGGTATAAAATACACGTTTCCTGATGCACTTATCTATTGGGTAAGACAAGCCCAGAGAGAAACTTATGGGAATAACTATGAAAATCTTCCGCATAAGTTAAAACACAATCTCGGTCTGTGGATAGACCAAGAAAATCACAACATTCTGCATTGTGGAGGGAGACTTAAACACGCAGATATCAATCTAGATACCGTGCATCCATGGCTTTTACCAAAAAATCATTGGATCACAAGGTTGATTGTGTTGCATACACATCAACAAATCATCAAACATGGAGGAGTGTTAGACACACTCACACAAATCAGACAGCAGTACTGGATTCCTCAGGGAAGACAGTCAGTCAAATCAATCTTGAAGAATTGCATGATATGCCGAAGGTACGATGCAAGAACTTGCTCTTATCCAGGGCCACCACCCCTACCAAAGGAACGAGTGGTCCATCTACAACCTTTCGAAACGACAGGAGTAGATTATACAGGAGCAATATATCTAACAGGGACTGCAGATAAGCAACCTATCAAGGCATACATCTGTCTGTTCACCTGTGCTACCACCAGGGCAGTACATCTAGAAGTAAAACCCGATATGACTGCTCAATCATTTATTCAAGCTTTCCGCAGATTCGCAGCACGCCGATCATGCCCTAAGCTGATGATTTCAGATAATGGAGCAAACTTGGTAGCTGGAGAAGCATGTCTACGGGAAATCTGTTCCCATCCTGCAGTTACTTCCACACTGGAACAGCATCATTGCAGATGGAAATTTATCCCTCCAAGAGCCCCATTGCACGGAGGATTTTATGAACGGTTAATAGGAACTGTAAAAAGATCCTTGAGAAAATCTCTACACCGTCAGAAAATCAATCTTCAAGAACTCCAGACAGTAATCACGGAAATAGAATCAAGGGTGAATAACCGGCCGTTGACTTACTTGTCTGAGGATCCTACTCAACATGAGCCATTAAGTCCTGCCCACCTAATGTATGGAAGACTTCTGACTCCAGTACCATCTCTAGTGGATGATGAGATCAGAGATCCCTCATATGTGGGTCAGAGCGAGTTGGTTCAGGGGTATAAGCATCTGTCTAGCATAATCCAAAAATGGAATGATGTTTGGACAAAAGAATATCTTACATCTCTACGAGAACATCACTATGGGGCCAATGTCCCACATAATATATCTAATCTCCAACCTGGCGATATTGTCTTGGTAGACAGTGATGGCCCTAGGGCTGACTGGCCATTAGGTAAAGTTGTCTCAGTCCATCCAGATAGTCAGGGGATTTTGAGAATAGTCAAAATCCTGTCTAAAGGAACAACTTCCCTGAAGACATTGGACAAACTCATCCACATGGAATCAGTGAGCCAGCTGCAGTTAGATCCTGAGAGACCTCAAGACACTCTAACTCCACAAGACCCACAGACTCCTAACAGACACAATCGTCCACAACGGACAGCAGCACAAAAGTGCAAGCAAAATTTGCACTTGTATTATCAATCCAATGGAGAGTAAATAAATACATATGGTTACTATTGTCCTAAGTATTGGACTCTGTGCCAGTTCTCTCCCTCTGGAAGATGTGGGAAATTTTTACCCACCATATCTAATAATCATCTAAGAAATGTATAATTCTATATCATATCTAAATCATATCAAAATCATATCTAAATCGTATCAAAATCATATTAGAATCATGAAAGATTCATTATATAGCTTGATCCTGGATGACAATGGCACCATGAACACGTACGCAACAGGGGCCCTTTTGATGCCTACGTGACTTTGTACATGATCTCTCAAGGATCCAGAAGCTTCTAGAAGGACTTCTTAATTAAAAAACTATTGGAACATTGATTCAACATCCGGTAGGATTAAAAATCGAATCCTTAATAAGATTCAGTGGTACTTTCAAATACTACTTATAATCTTTAAATCTTATATCTAATTATATTATAATCACATCTTATCTTAATCATAAGTCTAGACTGTAAAAATAATCAATCAATATTCATTGAAAGTTACCTCTCAAGGGAGAGGGAGGAGCATCTCGGGGGCGAGAAGCGCCCACGACGATGCCTCGCGGCACTCCGCGTTTGTTTACAAATGAGTGAACAAGTGACTGATCCTTAGCGAACATTACCAGCTCAAGGACACCTTATCTAATATTTTTTATCGCCAGTGAATACTCTCTAGAACTGGGGGAGTACCTGGACAATATCTACAAGGAAAATCCTGGAACATTACATAAAATAAGAGTGTATAGTGGAGATCACGGTGACACGGTTTCCTCCACCTTCATTCTTTATCTTTATCATATCATTCTTCTGCAACGCAGTTAAAGATAATCACGTAGCAACGCTACCAGATCATCATACAGCAACGCTGTAGCAAAATATCGTGCCTAAACTCAACGAGAGAGTTAATCAGTCTGGCAAACTTGTCAGACAGGCACCCCGACTGGCAGAGAAGTATATTGAGGGTTATTTGGTGTATGATTGGCCAATTGTATGCTTGTGTAACTTTAATATCCTATAAATCTGTCTGTTGGTTAAAAAGCGAGGCTAAGCCTCACATTTCAGTAAGTTTATTAAAATTGTAGTGTAGCTGTGAATCTTATCCAAGCACTGAACCTCATGAGTGTCCATTCTGTCAGAAAATAATTCAGCCTCAATAAGTAAAAACCTCACAAGTGTCCACAGCGTTGGAAGAGATTCACTCAAGCTAACTGTATCATATAAATGAATATGTCTGCATATATATTTGAATATATAAATTAAGTTATCAATTGCTTGCTTAGTTTTTAAGTTATCATATAAGTTCATTTAATTGAATATAATTTCTAGTACTTACTTAATAGTATTAAGACTACATTTAAGGTCATTTATTATACTTTTACAATTTAATTTGTTGTTTATAGTATAAGTACATATTGGCTGTTAAGTTATGGTGCTAGGTTAGACTATGTATGTTTAAATCTCTGATTTAAACAGAGCCAGTGTTCAGTCAGATAACTGAATTTATTAAATCTTATCCTTGTATAAAATACAAGCTGATGTGAGATCCCTGTCTACAGGTGGATTGGAACTTCTATCAACTAAGTCATTCACCCCACCTGTCCCTTACAGCCCACAGTTTGTCATTAGGAAAAGAGGATCTAGGATTTACAACCCTAGCTAGAGATTTTAGTTGAATTAATTTGCAGACAGTAAATTTTTAATTTAGTTCAGTACAAGTCCCTGGTAGTCTCCTCTTATATCAATCCCAGCAGGTTTTTCCCACACCACAGGTGCTAACACAATAGTTCCATCTTACAGCCTGGAGATGAAGTTCTTCGACGTTGCATAGACCCGACCATGAACAGTTAAAGGGGAGGGCCACACTTTCCTCATGATCCCAATGGCTGGCCACACAGCATTGCTTTGCAGGGTGAGCTGCTGACACAGCAAACCTCTGCCTAGTAACACTATGAGAACCGCTACCACTCGGTTCATCTATGCTACTAGCATCAGAACCAACGTTACCGAACTTGGAAACGGCAATCTTTCACATACTCATAGCATTTAGGAATGACAGATTCCGTATCACAGGTGGTGATATATAACACTCTGGAAGAGGTGTTGGCCTGGGACATGGCAGTGGTGCAATACACGTACTGGACATGCTCACTATCTTCCTCATCTATGTCCATATAACTTGTGTCTGATCATTGTGTCATTATCAGTCATTATCAGGTCTTGGGTCATCAGCATCACTATAAAGGTCATCATGATACAATATATCATGTATTTTATTGTCCATGAGTGATTTTCAATCACTCATGGACAAAATAAAATTTTCTCACTTCAAAATAAGCCAACCTGCACCCGAGGTGCATGCTGGGAATTTTTCAAGATGGCAGACACTCACTGGAGGCCTCAGCCAACCATTTGCTACCCAGGTTACCTCGCATGAGTTTTGAATCTGACAATGTACCAACAAACAAGTTATCTCGGTCAGCGCACCACCCGTCAACAGAGATATCTTGGTATGCGCAGTGCAAGTAAAAAAGTTGGGCAGTTAATCTGTTAAATTTTAGCCTGTATGTTATGCTTCTGCTTGGGCACACTAAGACTGGTATTTTTTCCTTACTCACACTGACATCCCAGCATGTCTCCACAACAATAGAGAACAATAGTTTAGCAATTGCAGTTTTCATAACATTCAATATTGGATTTTTGTTTATCTAAAAACATATTTATTAATCTGTATTTGAATACAGTACTGTATATGGAAAGAAAACTTATTTTTATGATTATAAATACTGTTTAAAAAAATTGAGAACACAAAGAAAACTCTTTGATAATTATATTTATTGGCTGCATTAATGATGATACACATCTTCGGATCACACATAGCATACTGAAAAAGGAACAATTTAGCAGCTAAAATTAATCACTTGTTCATTCAAAATAAAATGACTTGCATAACACATGGCATCTCTTGACCATGTAAGTTAAACCTAATTTAATGAGAGTTAGTAAGACTACACAGCATGTCTCACCTTGGTCACAGGATATCTATGAACTGTGAAAGTCTGGAAGAGCTGAGGCCCGTGCCCCACTGTCTCCGGGTGTTGAACGATGACTCTCACTGTTCCAGAACTTGTGCCATACGCAATCTCAATCCAGTTTCCGCATACATCTAAAATGAATATCAAACTTAGATATTCTAAATATTATTATGCGAGAAATTAAAGCTAGATAAGATTTGCCTGCCTCAGGATGATCAAGGAAATTATCCCTCTTCTGCTAGAGTAGCCCTCAGTTGCATTAACCACTGCACTGCAGAGCATTAAAATATAAAGTCCCCCATGGTACGCTGAAAAATTTTATTACAAAAAAAAAAATCTTATAGTGTTAAAATGCAGTCTCTGATCATGGGAAACTAAAATATTGTATGTTACATACTTTAGCTTTGATGGAGCTGAGAAGTTGAGCAATTTATGGGTGCCGAGTGATGAGGTGCTAGGAGACACTCGACCCCGTCACCCCGAGGGGCGGCAGTTGCCGCGAATAAAATTTTTCATAATTACTGTATTTCAATGTCTCTTATTCATTTCTTCTCTTTTTTTTCCTGTAATATTATTCAAAAGTGTGTAATTTGTGGAATTTATATACAGGTAGTTCAATGCGTGGAACATAACTATTCTCAAACTTATGGATCTCGAATATATCGACACGTATATTATATTCTAAGACCAATCAAGCAGTGTTTTTGCTGTTATTACACTATATACATATATTATATATAACTATTTACATTTTTGTGCACCATAATGAACTACAATGATTGTGTGGTGAGAGTGTATATACACAGAACAAGAATCCAAGGTCAGCCTAGCAGCCGACAGTGAGTGTGGCAAGGGCTGTCTCAAATACATTTTTACATAATTATTTCAGTGTCTGTGAATAGTTTTATATCTAGTGTTTTGCTGTAATATTATTCAATAGTGTGTAATTTGAGGAATCTATATAGTTAAGTGCATGGAACATCACTATTCTCAAAAATATGGGGTTCATATATGGTGACATTACAATGGGGTATATTATGTTCTAAGCTCAACCAAACAGTGTTCTTGCTGTTGCTATGCAATATACACACACATTATATATAATGATACACATCTTGGGATCACACAAAGCATACTAAAAAAGGAACAATTTAGCAGCTAAAATTAATCACTTGTTCATTCAAAATAAAATGACTTGCATAACAAATGGCATCTCTTGATCATGTAAGTTAAACCTAATTTAATGAGAGTTAGTGAGTGTGGCAAGGTGTTTTGCTGTAATATTATTCAGTAATATTTCTCAAATATGCACTATAACTAACTAATAAGCTGTTCTGGTGGGTATGGTGATAAAATCAATACCCAGCATAGAGCCACATGATACAAGCAGATGATGCCAGCAGTCGCATGATGCAAGACAATGCCTCTAATATTCTACACATCCCGCTATGACTAGTTACAAAACTGCTGTTATTATCACATTCCTGTCACAAAATCCTGAATATGAATCCATTTCAACAGGGTTATATTTTGAAGGAACATAAGGTTGTTTCATGATGCATAGATGTAGGAAACAATGGTTGGGTGCTGTCTCTTTTTACATGATGCTGTGAATATCATAACTAGCATTGTATTAATTGATATCTGAACATTGTACATAGTCTATCACAGTCAGGATCATCTATGACACAATCAATACAAAATAATTACAGTTACCAATTTTATTCATCATTACTAAGTGATGCTGTGGCCTCTAGCTGTAGAGAAGTGCTGTGAGCTGCTCGTGCATGTGCCAGCCTTGGTTATTCTCTCAGTACTGTACTAAGGCTCTCACAGCCAGCACGAATGCTGACAATTATTCTTTGAAGATGGCGTCTGTTTACTGGAGTCCGGAGGAACAGGATGTGAGCCCCGTGTACCCACAGGAGTTTTGAATTGCTTCCTATACCTAAAAGTGCCATATGGCACTCTGCACACCCCTGATCGGGTCCCTTAACCACAGAACTGCGCCAACCGAGTATTCTCAGTCGGCAGGAAGCTGCGCTAACCGAGAATTTTTTTTTATTTTTTCGTACCCATTCTAAATGTGTGCTCGGTTGGTTGTGTACGAAATGGACTCTTAGGACCTCCAGTGAGAGGCAGCCATCTAGGAAAAAATTTCCAGACTGCCCTAGGGCTGCTGGCTGGGTTAGTACTGAGTGAGGAACCATGGGTGGCGTACGCGCCTCTGGCTCCCAAACACCTGTCCGACGCGGTGTTGAAAGATAGCGCTCTGTCGGTGAAATTCAAATCTTATTGTTTGAAGAACATAAGGGTCATGATATTGGTGAAGCTAGGCGCAATAAGGACCTAACACAAAGGTCAGATGCAAGTGATACAGCACCTATGAGGACGATAGAGTGAACGTATCCAGTTGTAGCTCTGAGCGCCACCCTTGCCCACCTATGCCATCTCCAATTTATATAGATGATACATAGATGAATCGTTTTCTGCATTCAGTGATGATGCATCTCATACAAGTAGCATAGATGAACAGTGTAAGCAGCTTCCATGGTGGTGTTTTCCATAGATATTTTCAAGAATAGCTGAATCTCTTCTTGACTGACGGACACTCTTCGAGGCTGGCTGAATCTCTTCCTGCGTGGGAACTTACAAAGCAATCTTTTCACGACTACCTTACAAATTGATCTTTTCCTATAATCTTTTCAAGACTACCTTATTCTTTACAAGCTTGGTTACATCCCACCTACAGGTACTAAAGCCAAGGGTGTATGCTTGTGTTATTTGCAAGCACACAGATAGAAGAAACAGGAAGCGAAAATCTATCTGTACCTGGTGCAACGAGAGTGAAGTCACGCTGTGTACCATGGACTACTTCGTTGATTATTACTCACTTCTGAAGTACCGTGTAATACAGTGTATTACTGTGTAAATAGTGTGTGAAACTGTACAAATTGTAATTTTAGTGAATTTTTAACAAGTAATAGTGCGACAATAAACATTTATTGTGGACACATTACTGACACATGTATCACAGTTCCAAGGAACATTATGAACGTTCTACTGTATACATACTGTAAAGGACACAAATACGCATCATATATGATAAAAAAATAAATAAAAAATAAAACCGCATTGGAAATACAGTATATAGAACAAATAATTGAAAATATATTTGTGGCAACACCCGGTGCTTGACTGGTCCACGCGACTGTGTCTGGACGTATCACGCATGGGCGACCAGGCCCTGATGACGTCACAGTGCACCTTGTCCACGTCCCCACAGCCAAAGTAAGTGGAATTTGGTATTTATTTTTACAGAGACATGTTCAGGGAAGGGAATTTATCATTTTATGAAGAAAAAAGATTTTTTGGGGAACACTTGATTTCATGCGCACAGGGGGAATTTCACAATTGAAATTGAAATAAGTTTATTGAGGTAAAATACACACAAAGGGATGAGGTAGCTCAAACTATTCTCACCCCGTTCAGTACATCGTGTTAATACATACATAGACACACATCACAAGCAATAAACGTATTACCGAACATTCTGAGAGATAAACATATACATTTCCTAATTTCACAATAAACTCGGCACATCACAGTGGTTAAGGCTCTCTGCGCACCCCCCCCCCCCCCTGATTGGGTCTCTTAAGGCGCTCTGCTCAGTGAAGTGGTTAAACAATCTTAAAAAAAAAAGTAGTGAATGTAATGAAATGCTTCTTCCTTCTGGTCCTTGGTGATGCTGCCTGGCAAGCTCCGTCTAATTCAATCCACACCAGGCTCTTACCAGACATATATAAGCATACTAAGGACTAGAGGCAAAACCTTTTATGTAAAACCTTTTATGTAAAGTTATTCATGTCTGGTAGCATCCAAGAGAAGGCATCTTCTAAAGAGTAAGGACAAGAGGATTGTAGATCACCATAACCAAGAAAAGACCACTAGAAAGGAGGGTGAGTAAAAACAGACAACAGCAATGTAAATGAACCTGCAGAAAATGGGAGAATGAAGCCCCAAGATTCACAAATAACAATAATAATAATAATGCAGTGATGAAAGCAGTTCTCACTTCAGTTACACCTGTACACCACCAGAGGACTGAACACTTTTTTCCCTCGAACCCTTAACCTTTATTCCTTAGTCATATAACTAGTGGTCCAAACAATCCTGCTATTTGAACCCAACATAAGTACACAGAATTGCAGAAGGCATATTGGCCCATACGAGGCAGCTATTTACACCCAACATAAAAACAAAGCAAACTGTAGATGACTCACTGTAAATAGTTTACTGTATGTGTACAGTATAATACAATAAAATAAATACAAAAAAGAGAAACACAAAAACAAGAAAGGAGAACAGCAAACTCGTGGTTCAACAGTGTAAGGAGAAAAAGGAGGAGACAAAAAGGCATACAAATAGTATAGGGAGATGTGTACTGAGACAAACAGGAAGGCACTAAGGAAGACCAAGAATGAGTTCACAAAAAACCAGCATTGAATATAATGAAATGCCAATATTTGGTTGAGCCTTAGTGGCTCCCTGAAACTATTACACTGATTTGGTGCCATATTACTAGGTGCCATCAGTTGTGGAGTTCTCATTGGCCTACCATGGACCACAAGCCAGAACCTGGCTCCCTCTGAGAGGCACAGGGAGCAGTGGCACCATGAAAACCTTTTATGTAAAGTTATTCATGTCTGGTAGCATCCAAAAGAAGGCACCCAGAAAGTCAGTTAAACTAAACAGACTACTGCATCGTTAGAAATAAGATCACAGCCTCAAAACTGCCAAAAGAACTCTCCAACAATACAAACTATGAAAAATTCATGAAACTAGCACATGTTAGAATGCAACACCTATTCCCCTCTCGTCTTGGTGGAAGAAGGAGGCGGACTGGGACAGCCACCTGCTCCACCACCAGTTCTTATAATGATAGAAACCACCCCAATGCCCTGGGAAAGAGAGGGTGTCAGGAAGCCACAAGGACTCGCCCAGAAAATAGCATTTCATTACATTCAATGCTGGTTTTCTGGGGAAAGCCCCTTGTGGCTCCCTGAAGCTACCTGCTCACAGAAATAGAAAAGAGAGCATACCAGGGAGGAGAAAGCACTGCAGGTATCATGATGAAAGGAGCCCAATGTTCACGAACACGACCCAAAGTCACACCAAGCCACAGAAGACTAGGAACATCCAGAAGATACCCGGCTGCTGGGACCTCGCCCAACCACCCCACCCCCCTACCCCCCTTGCCTGAAAAACGACAAAAATACATGAGCAAAGAGCACCGAAAGATCAGCCCATGGAAGAACATCAAAAGCACGAGGGTAGACCACTGGCTAGAGCGTAAGACACAGCAGATAACCAGAGAAACACGAGCCCTAGAACAGGAAACCAGGGGAATCAGGGGAAACCAGGTGAAACCAGATGAAACCAGAGCAAACCACAAAGAGACCACAGCAACAGAACCGGTGGCACAAAAGCACCGAAAGAAAACCGACACCATACACATGATGCACCTCGGCAGAAACCACTAAGCATCCACCACCAGAGGGCCCCACCGGAAACCGGCTGACTCATTTCCGGTTTCCCACCAGAAACCGACTGATTGCTGCTGACTCACCGGAGCCAGCAGCAACCCAACAAAGCAGCTACAAGGGAGAGAGAGATAAAAAAAAAAAAAAATCCCCAGTGCTGGTGCTCAAGAAACCTGGTCACTTGGCAACCAGAAGCCAGAGAAAGCAAACGAGAGCTTGCTAAAACCAGTCAGATACCTGGTTGATATCTGGTTGATGGGGTTCAGGGAGTTTTTCTACTCCCCAAGCCTGGCCCAAGGCCAAGCTTGACTTGTGAGAGTTTGGTCCACTAGGCTGTTGCTTGGAGCAGCCCGCAGGCCCACATACCCACCACAGCCCGGTTGGTCCGGCACTCCTTGGAGGAATAAATCTAGTTTCCTCTTGAAGATGTCCACGGTTGTTCCGGCAATATTTCTTATGCTTGCTGGGAGGACGTTGAACAACCGCGGACCTCTGATGTTTATACAGTGTTCTCTGATTGTGCCTATGGCACCTCTGCTCTTCACTGGTTCTATTCTGCATTTTCTTCCATATCATTCACTCCAGTACGTTGTTATTTTACTGTGTAGATTTGGTACTTGGCCCTCCAGTATCTTCCAGGTGTATATTATTTGATATCTCTCTTGTCTTCTTTCTAGTGAGTACATTTGGAGGGCTTTGAGACGATCCCAATAATTTAGGTGCTTTATTGCGTCTATGCGTGCCGTATATGTTCTCTGTATTCCCTCTATTTCAGCAATCTCTCCTGCTCTGAAGGGGGAAGTGAGTACTGAGCAGTACTCAAGACAGGACAACACAAGTGACTTGAAGAGTACAACCATTGTGATGGGATCCCTGGATTTGAAAGTTCTCGTAATCCATCCTATCATTTTTCTGGCTGTCGCAATATTTGCTTGGTTATGCTCCTTAAAAGTTAAGTCGTCAGACATTATTATTCCCAAATCCTTTACATGCTGTTTTCCTACTATGGGTACATTTGATTGTGTTTTGTACTCTGCATTATGTTTAAGGTCCTCATTTTTACCGTACCTGAGTACCTGGAATTCATCACTGTTAAACATCATGTTATTTTCTGATGCCCAGTCGAAAACTTTATTAATATCAGCTTGAAGTTTTTCAGTGTCTTCAGCCGAGATAATTTTCATACTGATTTTTGTGTCATCTGCAAAGGATGATACGAAGCTGTGACTTGTATTTTTGTCTATATGGGCCAGGACCGAAAGAAACATATGAACATTGCCAGGTGGCACAGACAACAAAACCCTTAAATTTGCACAAGGTATGAGCAAGCTTGGAAGAGGTACCCACTAAACAACTGAGCCTGTGGAGATTTTCCAGGGTCTGCAGGGTGTGTTCCCTGCAGGAAGCCCCTACACTGGGAACACAATGCTGGTAACCCCTGTATCTTGTACAGGCACCCCTAGTTACCCAAAGCCAACAGCAAGGTCCAAGGAGCAACAAGGGGGGAGAAGGTTAACCTTAGGTGAAACCTAATAAAGGTAGAGTAGAAAAGCACCTAAACAGAAAAGGGCAAAAATTATGAAAAACCCTGAAAAGGGGCAAAAATGCAATCTCGGAACCCCTTAGCATCAATCCGCGGAGAACGAGCCACAGGGAAAAATTGTAGCACCAACCAGACATATAAGCTGGAAGCCCTCGGCATCTCAGTTTGGTCATGCAAACCACAGTGCACCTCACCAGCACGCTTGTTCAACACACTAGTTCAAAACTAGAAGACAGAAGAAAAAGAGGTGATATGATCACTACATACAAAATAGTAACAGGAATTGATAAAATCGATAGGGAAGATTTCCTGAGACCTGGAACTTTAAGAACAAGAGGTCATAGATATAAACTAGCTAAACACAGATGCCGAAGAAATATAAGAAAATTCACTTTCGCAAACAGAGTGGTAGACGGTTGGAACAAGTTAGGGGAGAAGGTGGTGGAGGCCAAGACCGTCAGTAGTTTCAAAGCGTTATATGACAAAGAGTGCTGGGAAGATGGGATACCACGAGCGTAGCTCTCATCCTGTAACTACACTTAGGTAATTACACTTCCACTACACATAAGAGGCATAACTTGCTGACCCCTCAGTGTTCAAGAGAGAACTTGATAAACACCTGCAAAGGATACCCGATCAACCAGGCTGTGATTCATACGTCAAGTTGCGAGCAGCAGCATCCAACAGCTTGGTTAACCTGTCCAGCAGGTAGGAGGCCTGGTCGGGGACTGGGCCATGGGGACGTCGAACCTCGAAATCATCGCAAGGTAGCAATAAACACTCCCGACCCAAAGACTGACAGTCCAAGAGAACTGGTTTACTGAAGGGTGAGGGCCAAACCAAAGCGAGGAGAACCCCTAAGGGAGTATATCCTGACCTAACCAGATAAGACAACCCTGACTGCACAAGGGTAGTACTTAGGGAGCATGCAAGAAGAGAACCCTGAGCACATACAGCCTCAAGCACACTAAATTTCTAGCTCACACTAAGCAAACACTTATAAAACAGCTTCAAAGCAGGGTTGCCATAATATGCATTGCTGAAAGTTGTGAGCTTAAAGAGTAAGAACTATGAATATACTGTAAACCAAAAGTTGCCTGGCAAATGGGCTCCTTATAAGCCCATCTGGGCAACTTGTAGCCCAATGTGGCAACCTCCTCTCAAAGGCAAACACCACTCAGATAAAACATGAGACTGGAGCCAAAGTGACTAGAATGGGCGACCACACACACATCAGAATAAGAACTGATGGTGAAGCAGCCAGTTGACCTGGTCTGCCTCGTGGGGAAGGTGGTGCGTTCTAGTGCGAGCTACTTTCATACATTTTTATAGTGTGTTTATATTGTTGGGAATAGTTCCTTTGGCAGTTTTAAGGCTGTGGTTTTGTTTCTAACCAAGCAGTCTGTTTTGTTTTGCTGACTTTCTGGGTGAATACCCTTGGTGATGGCAGACATGAATGACCTTACATAAAAAGTTTTCACAGTGCCACCACTCCCTGTGCCTCTCTGAGGAAAGGGGGGGGGGCAGGTTCTGGCTCATGGTCCCCAGTAGGCCAATAAAAACTCCACAACTGATAGCATTCAGTAGTATGGCACTGAATCAGTGTAATAGCTTCTGGAAGCCACAATAAGCTCCCTTCAGAAATAGTGGCTTTGACCAATATGAGAACTATTACCATTAATTCTAAAAATTCATTTAATAACTAGAAGAGTCTTACTTGTTTTTGGTGTAAGGTAAACTGAGATAGCAGTGATGATATCATTTGATGGATCATGATAGAGCTCTGTCACTAGTAAGTCGTTATCCTTCATCCTTAGAGGAAACTTTTGCATATCTGGAGAGAAAAAGTAGTTTATAAATTATGTCAAGACATTTATGATGCTCATCAAAGCAGACATGAAACCCATCATAATTGACATTTAAATAACAATGTATGTATGTAAGATGCAGTACTGAGCAAAAAGTTAACAATATCAGCAAATGAGTTAGTGAATGTTAAACTAATTTGATAAGCATCCAAAGTTACCTATACAGAATTTTTGAAAAAAAGATGCACACAGAAAATACTGTACAGTATATCCTTACTATTTGTATTAATTGCAAGTCTAGATGAAGTTATTTACAGTGAAACTGACTTAAGAACAAGAAATGTATATTCAGAAGAACCCCTTATTGTGTGAATCCTGTTTTCCAAATTCTTTGATCATCTGGACATAAAAGTTTATGGTTCTCAACCTTATTCAATTAGATCATGTCTAGTTAATGGGGGTTAATCCCCATTATTTGTAAAGTTTGTTTAGGTTCCTGAAAATGGCTTCAATTCCCACAGTCAGAGACAGGAAGCCTGTTAGACTCATCAAGGTTCTAATATGCCAACTATTTACCTTCCCCTGGCTGCAACCCCAAACACCTACCTAACTCATGGGAACCTATTTACCGTTAGGTGAACAAAGGCATAAGTGAAAGAAAAACATTATCCAAATGCTTCTGTCCAGCCCCCATGAATTGAACCTAGGATCTTTTGGCTGTGACCCCAGTGTTGTCAATAGCACCAAAGTACCCTCATAAATTTTATAAGTGAAGTTCGTGATTAAAAAAAGAAAAGTTTCGAGTGTGGGAAAATGAGCATGGACTTGATTTGGAAAAGCTCAAACACCTTATAATAATTTCAAAGGAAGAGTTCTAAATACTGACCCATAATTTCTATACTGTTTTACATGTTAATCCAGCACTGAATTTACATTTTACATGTAATCCAGTACTGAATATAATGAAATGCCTATTTCTAGTGGGCTCTCAGGAGTTCTCTGATGCTATAAACTGGAAGCAACCAAGGCTAGAGGAACATCCTTTAAAGAGGCAATGGGAGCTTGGGTATCAGAAATCACCACAAAATCAATAACAATTTTATAATTTTGTGTATTCATTATCCAATACTGGATAATGAATACACAAAATGAATGAAGTGTGAATAAAGTGAATAAAGGATAATGAATAAAGTGTGTTAGTAAGTGCTAAAGTGCTAAAAGTGCTAACGTTTGTTAGCACTTTGTTAGTAAACTTATTTATATTTGTTTTATGAAGTGCCATATCTTAATTAATTGTGACAACACATAATATAATGCATAAATATAAGTGTAATTACCTCAGTGTAAATACAGAATGAGAGCTACACTCATGGTGTCCTGTCTTCACAGTACTCTTTATCATATGATGCTTTGGAACTACTGATAGTTTTGGCATCCACCATCATGTCATTTAACTTATTCCAAGAGTCTACAATCTGTTTTCAAAAGTGTAACACAGGATTTTTCTTGGCACTTTTGTTTTCTTAGCTTGAATCTATGACCTGATGACTAAACCCACACATCAGAAGATGGAGAAATGATGACGTTTTGATCCATCTTGAACATAATCAAATCCACATGACTTGATAATGGTCCAAGTTGGACCGAAATGTCATTGTTTCTCCATCTTCTGATGTGTGGTTTGGTCATCATATCTTCAGCCACTTTATTGTGACTCATCATCTCCTACTTGCCAGCCAGCAAGACAGTTATCCATCCAGCCCACCTGCCTGCCCACCCACCTACCTACCAGCCAGCCCACCAATCAAGCAACCAACCTCCATCCACCAGCCATCCACCATCTATCCTGTTGCCCTCCCAAATATGACTAAAAAGTTACCAACATATTAATACCTCCGGATTTAGGAGAGCCCTGGAGTTAACGACCTGGGTACAGCCCCATATAGGTCTTGAAATCAAGTGGATACTATATTAAATATTAAATACATTTAAAACCCACTGTTGTTGATAGTAAACAATGATTACTCACCAATATAATAAATAGAGCCATTGGTGCACCCAAGTAACAGGAAAGAACCTGCAGTGTCGAAAGATGCGATGGGTAGTACTTCTTGGATCTGCCAGTGTTGTGTCATTGCATGCCACACACCAATCTTCCCAACAGAGGAGAGTGCCACTAACTGCGATCCGATAAAAAAGAGATACTCAACTGGTACACCCAGGTTGAAGGTCCCTGTAAACAAGAATGTTCACGTTAATCTTTACCAGTGAGAAGCAAAAATCCATTTACAGTCAAATAAAAGCTTCAAAATGGTTGCTGCCAGGTAGTTTTCTTTGCCATCATGAATATGGTTACTGTAGTACCTTGCATGAAAAGGCCAATAAGAGGTCATCACAATATAAGATTATGTTTTAAACAAAATTTTCCCCATAAATTTTTATGCCCATCAGATTTGCTTAGGTGCAGATTATTAAGCCAATTGATTTGTTATTATTCTGTTATGCATGTTTGTAGCCAACACACACACACACACACACACACACGTGTGTGTGTGTGTGTTTGGTTAGAAAGCGTGGCATAGGCTCCTCGCACAATATTCTTTATGTGGTCCTCAGGTGATAGTTTTCTATCTAGAACCACCCCTAGATCTCTTTCTTTATCAGAATTATTTAAAGATTTCTCACATAATATATAGGTAGACCCCACACAACCTATATATTATGTGAGAAATCTTTAAAGAATTCTGATAAAGAAAGAGATCTAGGAGTGGTTCTAGATAGAAAACTATCACCTGAGGATCACATAAAGAATATTGTGCGAGGAGCCTATGCCACACTTTCTAACTTCAGAATTGCTTTTAAATACATGGATGGCGATATACTAAAGAAATTGTTCACGACTTTTGTTAGGCCAAAGCTAGAATATGCCAGCCCGTCCTCCAAAAATGGGGTGGTAAATGTAAGGAGACAAATAAGTGCAATTATGTACTATTCATAGCAGTTAGGAATTGTACTTATTTTCACTTAGTATTAAATCATACTGTCAAATATATTGTGAATATTTGAGTTTACTTGAAAAACTGAATAGAAAACCACAACGTCACCTAACCAACTTAGTTTTTGAAGATAATAATTTTATTGCTTCTTAATTACAATTAGTACTTAACCTATAGCTATATGATATTACAGTTTTATAAAACTAATAAAACAAAACTAAAATATATCAATAAATTTGAAAGAAACTCAGGATATTTTAAAATTTTGTATAAAATCTATATTGTTTAATAAACCCAAAAAAGAAATTCCTGATATTTAAAACTTGTGTATAGCATATTGAAGTTGAAAACTTCATCCTAAAATGCTGAGTGTCTTAACAGAAAACAAGGAGAATTAAATTGGGGGAGGGAGTTGGGTAAATGTAACAGCCCCATAAGTGCAATTATGCACTGTTTATGACAGTAAGAAAATGTACTTATTACACTTAGTATTAAATCGTACTGTGAATTCGGAGGATGGGTTGAATATGCAGCGGTTGTGTGGTGCCCATATCTTAAGAAGCACATCAACAAACTGAAAAAGGTGCAAAGACACGCTACTAAGTGGCTCCCAGAACTGAAGGGCAAGAGCTACGAGGAGAGGTTAGAGGCATTAAATATGCCAAAACTAGAAGACAGAAGAAAAAGAGGTGATATAATCACTACATACAAAATAGTAACAGGAATTGATAAAATCGATAGGGAAGATTTCCTGAGACCTGGAACTTTAAGAACAAGAGGTCATAGATTTAAACTAGCTAAACACAGATGCCGAAGAAATATAAGAAAATTCACTTTCACAAACAGAGTGGTAGACGGTTGGAACAAGTTAGGTAAGAAGGTGGTGGAGGCCAAGACCGTCAGTAGTTTCAAAGCGTTATATGACAAAGAGTGCTGGGAAGACGGGATACCATGAGCGTAGCTCTCATCCTGTAACTACACTTAGGTAATTACACTTAGGTAATTACAAAGATGTGTGCATTGAAAGTTGAAAAGGTGACACCCTTAGTGATAACACCTGCATCAGAGGAGCTCCAGGATATTTCGCAATCTACAGGAGATTGGAAAGTATGTAAAAGGGAAAAATCGACCTTTGAGGATCACCCTAAACGGTGCCAAACAGATGGAAGAAGTACTAAGGAATGATAGAAAACTACAAAGTGATGAGGAAGGGAAAGTATGGTCATTAAGACGAGATCTTTCAAAAGAAGAGAGAGAAGCTAAAACTGAACCTCGTCGAGGCAAAACGTCTAAATGAGAGCAGGAATGAAGAAGAAATCAATTCTTTTTTCTACAAAGTGATAGGGGTAGGCAGACCAGTAAAATGGTACAAAAAGGCAAACCCAATAAAATCACTAGAGAAGAGAGTTGTGAAGAATAAGGAGAGGGGGAACATGTTCCTGAAAATTGCATACACCAACATAGATGGAGTAAGATCAAAGATACTGGAGTTAAGTGATGTAATACAGCTGCAGACACCAGACATTGTTGCACTCACGGAGACAAAACTTGAAGATGATATTTTAAATGAGGTCATATTCCCAAGGGGCTACTCAGTCTGGAGACGGGACAGAAAAATTAGGAAAGGCGGTGGCGTTGATGTTCTGGTGAAAGAACACCTAAAGGTAAATTAAATAATGATTGCCAATCCACGAGACGTTGACATAATAGCACTAGAGATCTGCAATCAGGATGATAAACTAATGATCATAAATGCATATAGTCCATCACCATGCAACACATGGTCAAAGGAGGAGTTGGATAATAAACGAGAGGGTCTTATAACAATAATGAAAAAGATTATAGCGAAAGCTGATAAAGATAGATCACGACTGTTGGTAGTCGCCAACTTCAACTTGAAATCCATAGACTGGGAGGCATATGAAGCTGGAACAGAGGATTTTTGGACTTGTAGATTTGTAAACCTCATGTTATCTTGAGATGATTTCGGGGCTTTTTAGTGTTCCCGCGGCCCGGTCCTCGACCAGGCCTCCACCCCCAGGAAGCAGCCAGTGACAGCTGACTAACACCCAGGTACCTATTTTACTGCTAGGTAACAGGGGCATAGGATGAAAGAAACTCTGCCCATTGTTTCTCGCCAGTGCCTGGGATCAAACCCAGGGCCACAGGATCACAAGTCCCGCGTGCTGTCCGCTCGGCCGACCGGCTCCCTTGTTGTTGTCATTCCGGCTCCGGAATGTTGGAAACATTCATGTTTCAACATGTTAATACCAACAAATCGCAGGACCAAGAGCTGGCAAAATGGGCTAGCCTTCCCTTTACTGTCCTGTCAAAAGGGCAACCCACAAAAAGCACGACATAAACCACTTTCAAACAGAGTGAACTAAGCACTAACCAGACGAAGAAGACGAGGCTAGGGGAGGTACATTCGACCCAGCTGCCGGCAACACAGAGGACCTACCTCGACCAACAATAGGAGATGCCCTGCCCCAAACAAACATGCTGGAAACTCGAGACTCCCCCTCCCTCTCCTGAAAACAGAACAAATCCGAAACAGGACGGCAACCAACAACAGTCGCTGACAAAAACTCAATGAGACACAAAGTCCTCAGGGAACAGCAAAGCTCTAAATGGCAAAGTCAAAGTGAGGGTCAGGGCACACATTCAGTCCAGAGATTGGGTCAGCACAGTTTGCCAACATGCGAGACAGGAGGTGAAAAATTAAGAGGAGGATCTTCCCGGAGGATCGGAGCATACAGCTTAAGGATGGCAGCCAACTTTGAAGCTGCAAAGACCAAAAGTCCCACAAGAGAAACCTCACCGAGCATCTCAATATCCTCTTAGAGCCAATAAGAATGAAGCTCCAGGAGATTTAAGAAATGCATGATAGAAGCCAAGAGCTCTCAGTCTGCAGCTCTCATCCTGCTAACATGAGTCAGCAGTCATCTGTTTCTATACCCACCTGTATAAAAAAAAATTAAAAAAATTAAAACAGATATGAAGGTCATCGACCACCAAAGCAGCCGACAGAAGGGTAACCTGAGCATGCAGCTGCACAAGATCCATGTTACAGAAAAGGGCAGGAGTGAAGAGGTGTGCATTGAGAGGTTCAAGGAAACCCCCTCCAGAAACACATGCAACACAATTGACATCTCCTGTCAATCATGTGGGTATGACAAAATTCTCACCAGGTCCCATGGGAAAACAAAGGCCAGATCCAGAACCATAGCATAAACCAGGTCACACAGTCATAGGTAAGCAGTCCAGCTGCTGCTCCGGGTTCTCACGTGACTTGAATCCTACCAGGGAAAAGTGCTTCTCCTGGTGCACTTGTGCTGGAGCCTTGGTTTCAGGCGCTGCTTGCTCGGTGTCTGAACCCAAGAGTTTTTCCACGGCTATGCCTCCTTCAACAGGTCGGGGCGGTGAGGTACCTCGCTGGTTCGACTTACTCTTCTGCGCTTCACGTCTGGTTTTTCTGACGTGGGTGTATCGCCACTTGTATGGTGATTAGGTGGCTTCTTTGATGGGTATCCCACCTGCGGTCTTCCTCTCAGCAACAGTGTGAAGTCTCTGGGCGGTCATTATACCATTTCCTTTTCCCTGATTGGGTATCGTTGGTGTCTGTTAGGGTTGTTTTGTCTTTTCTTTCTTGGCTTTTTTAAGACAGGCATCTCATGCCGAATACTGTCGCTTCTTATCATGCGGCACGGGGCAGAGCCGCTCCAGCTTGCATTCAGAGTTGATGTCACTTCTGCTCGGTTCCACAAGCTCTCTTTTGTGTGTTTTTTTCACATCTGGTCTGCTCATGCGCCTCAGCCATCTTGGTTTTGGAACTGGGTGCTCTCATTTTTTTTCCTCCCCTTGGTTTGTGGTGGTCCCTTTGGTTCGGGATTGTTTTATGAAAACCTTGTTTTTGTTGGCTTTGGCCTCTGGGGGTTGGGTTGGGGAGCTTCATGCTCCTCTCCGACGCCGGGCTTCTGCAGGAGTCCGTTGGTTGTGGATGCTTGGTTGGTTAGGCTGGGGATGCATCATGTCTAATGTCCGGTGGCAGCTTTACGTCTTTACCTGCAGGCCACTTGTTCTGTGGGAGTGGACATTCAGAGTTGATGTCACTTCTGCTCCATTCCGCAAGCTCTCTAGTGTGTGTTCCGCACACTCTTGGCTCTTGGGGGATCCAGTTTTCCTGTTCCAGGGCTTGTGTGTCTTAGGTTGTCTGCAGTGTCATCAAATCTAGCTAGCCCGTGGTCTACGCTCGTGCCCATGATGTCCGGAAGAATGCTTCTCTGACTGTATTCTTTGTGAATATGTCTTGGGTCGACATTTGAACGGGCGGGGGATTTGGAGGTCAAACAGGGTCCCGGCCGCCAGGTATCTCGTAAAAGTTCAGGGCCCTCTCCAGCCTTGTATTGCATTGGGGCGTCTGTCGTGGCCTGATGTTTCATCTTCGTCTTGAGACCTGCCGTGCCTCCACCTCCCGAATAAGTCCCTCTTTTACTTATCTGTCGGTAGTTAGCTTCAGGGAGCTGGCGGGGCTCCACGCAAAAAAACAGTGTTGAATGTAATGAAACGCTATTTTCTAGGTGAGCCCCGGAGGCTTCCTCCCTCCGGTTGGTGGTTTGCTTGTTTGTTGTCTTTTTTTGGGAATTATTTTTCTTTGTTCGGACGTAGGTTGCAATTTTCAACAGCTTATGGTTTGTTTTGTTTCGCCTATCTTTCTGGGTGCCCTCCCAGGTCGATGGCAAGTATGATACATTCTAAATGTAGAGTGCTCATAGGCCACTGCTTCCTGTGCCTCTTTGAGGGGATCAAGTTCTGGCTTGTGGTCTCTGGTAGGCATAAAGAACTCCTGTGGCTGATGACCCCAAACTAATATTGCACATGTCAGTTTGGATAGCTTCAGGAAGCCAACAGGGCTCCCACAGAAAGAGGTTTGTGCTCTGCAGGAGGTACATAAGCAAATGTGCACAGACCACAAATGGCACAGCATGGAAAGTTGGAAACCACCTGATGAATCCGAGGGGGAAGCAGCAAAGAGATCCAAATCATACATAGAGTGGGTATGAAAAATGATCCCCAATATTGACAGATCATCTAGGAAGGGATGGAAAGCCATAAAGGCTCAAAATGCACACAAGGGCACTTCTCAGGCTCCCCCTAAATCCTGAAAGTCTGTCATGAAGGCTCCAGGGAAGAGCCAAAGACCTCATCCAACTCTTGAAATAGAAAGGTGTCATCCCCAGAAGAAGGCTTGAGGTAAGGGGGGGGGGCAGTTGTGAGGGTAAGTGCCCCGAAACCCAGGTGGGAATGGAAGGTTCAATTGCTTTCACCATTTATGTGGATAGGACCAAACTCAGAGAAGCTTGAGCCAAACCCTTACACATCTCCAAAACCTTGAGACATTTCAGAGCACTTCGGAGCACATGGAAAGACCAGAAGCAGGGCAAACTACACCTTCAGGAGAAGGAAGAAGAGGCATGGACTTATTCCAGGTGACAGTCACCAACACCTCTAACTTCAGGTCCCTAAACACCATGGGGGTCAACTTTAGGGCATGCAACCAAGTATAATGCAAATGCCTAACACAAGTGAATCTTGCTCACAAAGTGGCAGCTGTCGGAAGTGCCACCAAGTGGGAGGCAGAATCAGTTAAAGCTGTGAGTGAAAGCAAACCTCACAGGACTCAGAGTCATCACAACAGGCAACATGGCAGATGCAGAAAGAATTATAATTGCCAGAAAGGATGATGATTACTCCTCAAACTCACATTCAGTGAAAGAGGGCTCGACAGGTTGATCCATATGGACCATGCCAGAGAACTGCTGATGATTTCCAAGGTAATCATTACCCATGGTAATCCTTGTTAGATTACAGTAGGCCCAACAGAACTTTGGCGGTGAGTGTGACCCTTTAGTATGTAGTAATCTCAGCAAGATAACTTCAAGGAGCCACAGGGACTCCTCCAAAAAACTAGCACTGAATGCAATGAAACTCCAGTTTATGGGTGAGGCCTGGAGGCTCCCACGGAAAACCCCAGCTTCTCTGGGATACTACAACTAAACCACGATAGACTTTTAAATGGATTTTTTGTGCTACCTGGATGCTAATTAACACTGTCACTGTAAAATTAACACTGCCACTGTTAAATTAACATTGTCACTATTAAAAGTTAACACTGTGAAATAGAATTCTTTCATTTTTTTTGCACATGACAATGCATCAAAATAATTTGCACAGTCAGGAGGTTAAGTAGAAAGTTATTTCACTAAAAATACAAGATGCAAGAGCCATTCCTTGAACATTCGACATTCAGCATCTCCTTTCCAATGTTTTGTTATGTTGGTCAAAATGCTGACCTCTGTTGTATAATAACTACATAATTATGTTGATATAGGTTATGCTTGCCAGATATATGAAACACAATACAAAGCGAGAAAATTTAGCACACAGAGCATCACCAATTAAAAAATAGTTAATCTTGCCCCTTTTTTGGGGTTAACAAATGAATAAATAACACAGTAAAATTGAAATCAGACTGACCAATGTCATTCCTGGTGCCTTCCTCAGAGATACCCCAGAGTCGAATATGTGAGGCATAAGATATGGCGAGCATCTTCTGCCCAGCTTCTCCACCCTGACTTGGTGGTGAGAGCTTTGCATTCAGAGCTGCCCGTTCAATAAGCTGGTCAATATACGGAGATGTGAAGGCTAGTTGCCAACCAGTGCTGTCTTTGTTCCTGAGGACCAAGTTGAGATTAGATGATGCCAGTTAGAAACAGCAATATCAAGACATTTAAGCAAGATTTACATATAATGAGACAGGGCATTATGTAATGATTGGCACTTTATTTTAATTAATTTCAATATTATATTTTTTATTTGACAGTTTGCTTCATTTTATTAACTGCAATGTTAATTTTTTAATTGCTAGTGTAATTATGTAAGTATAGTTACAGGATGACACCTACACTCATAGTATCCCATTTTCCCAGTACTATTTGTCATATAACACTATGAAACTACTGATGGCTTTAGCCTTGACCACCACCGCAGTTAACTTGTTCCAACCGTCTACCACTCTGTTTGCAAAAGAGAACATTCAAATTATTTTGTGTCCTTGGTTTAAGTCAATGATCTCTTATTTTTGAGGTTGCCGTTTTCAAAAAGAATTGTTTCTGGGGATAGCCCCATCGGCTCCCCGGAGCTTATCCAGGCTGATATGCTAATGTCAGACTTTGGCATCAGTCATGTGTATGGAGTTCAAAGGGCCTACCGGGGACCACGAGCCAAAACCTGGCCCCCTCAGAGAGGCATGGGGAGCAAAATTTGTGACGGGGCTTGTGGGTGTTGGTTGCTTCGGCTTTGTTCCTTCCTCGCCCCCTTGTCTTTCCCCTGTTGCGATTTCGTCTGGTCCCCCCCTCCCTTCCTCCCTGCATCTGGATCCTTTCCATCTGTGGGTTCAGGGTCAGGGCAGCAATTCGATGGTCTGGAGACTCGGGCGGTCTCGGGGGTTTTCCCTTCCGGGGTAGCGACGGTGGCATTCGAGCCTGTTCCTCAGCCGGGTTGTATGAGTCTGCCAGTGGGCTCCCTTCCTTAGTACTTTTCCAGCTGCCCCGGCTTTTTCTTGTGAGGCTGGGGCTTTGGGGGGATGGCTCGGCCCCGGGGCCTGCCGTGGAAGTTCCCCTGGGTTGGGGAGGGGGTGACTTCGGGGGCCTCGGGCCTCGTTGGACCCCGCCGGGGTTTTCTACCCTCAGTGCGGGGCTTGCGGTTATGGGGAGTGGGGTTTTTCCTTTCCCCTCTAAGTACGAGTTGTTGGGCGTCGGCCCCTCCCCAGGTTTGGATCCTTGTTATCAGGGTTCTGCATGACTTGGTCTTGGGTGCGACTGTGCATTTATGAGCCTTCATGATTTTGTGTTTGCTTCTGTGAAATCTCAGGGGTTTGGGAAGGTCTTCGATTCTTCCCGCATTGTTGGAACGTCTGTCGTCTTTCGGTGAGGCTTACCCCCAGTCCTCTTTGGACTTGTTGGTCCTCTTCCGTGCTTTTTCTTGGTTTTCGATGCCATCTTGTTCTTTTGTCATTATATCTTCTCTCCGTGCTCTGTCTAGGCACTGCTAATATTTTACAATACTCCTTGTTGGCGTCCTCCCTGCTAGGCGGGGTTGTGTGGTTCGGACCTCATGCGTCCTGGGCATGCGCCATGGAAGTTTTTGTTTTGTTCTGGACAGCGTACACAAGTACTGGTGTTTCGCGTCCTTTTTTCTCTCGGGTGCTTTGCCTCTCTCGCTCCTCTCGTCTCTCCAGTCTGTGCCTCATAGATGGTGGGGGTGTTTTTTGGATCACCACTATGGGAAGGCCGCTGGGTTTTCCCTGCATATGGGTGTGGGGCACCTCATTCGCCTCTACCCTACTCTTCTCCTGCAGGTGCGGCTCTGGCCTTCTTCCTCGGGCGGTGCTCCTGGCATTTTCTCGGCTACGTTGTGTTGTGACATGTTCGTGGTTTTTGGATACGGATATTAGAACATAAGAACAAGGGTGACTGCAAAGGGCCAATTGGCCCATGCGAGGCAGCTCCTATTATGCCTATCCGGTCCCACTCATATGCATGTCCAACTCATGACTGAGTCAATCGAGGGGCCCCATCTTCGCCATGTTACAAGGTACAGTACTGTATAATGGTGGAGGTAAATGTTATGGGGTAAATGTTACACTGTTTTAGGATGTCATGATGTGACATTTTGCCGCGGTTTTGATACTGAGGATGCTATGTAATTTTTTACACGTTGGGTCACAGCCCCGTTTTCGTGGTCTTATCTGGGTCACTCATTCCTTGCCAGTCTTGCAGTGCCTGGCTTAGCCCTTCCATGTACATTGGATTCTTTGGACTCACCTAGTTGTCCTTACCTAGCTGTGCTTGTGGGGGTTAAGCTCTAGCTCTTTGGTCCCGCCTCTTGACTGTCGTTCACCTGACATAGACGTGGCTTCTGTGTTGTTAGTCCTGTCCCTTTCGTTCCCATTGCTGCCTGTCTTCCTCGTTCCTCATCTTCCTTCTATGCTCATGTCCCTCGCTGCTGGTGCTGGGGCTATTTTTCTAGTCCCTACAGCTTGTTATCCTGTATCCGCTTCAGGTCGCTTAACCTGCGGGGTAATATGTGAGGGGTAGTTGGATTGTTTTGCGCGTCGGTTACTCATCAGGGCTTGACGTCTGCAAGAAGACCTGTACATGTTGGTTTACACTTGTTTGTGTTGTGCTAACAACGTGTCATGGGATGTCTTTGTTCTGATGTTACCTCGCCACTCTCGATACACATTGTTGTGTGGTTTAGTATGTGCTTCTTGACACCTACTCTTGCCTTGCAGTTTCCTTGCAGTGTCTCCGGGGCTTAGCATCCCGCGGCCCGGTTGTCGACCAGGCCTCCTCGTTGCTGGACTGGTCCGGCCGCGTGCAGCCTGAAGTAATACTTACAGCCTGGTTGATCAGGTATCTTTGGAGGTGCTGCTCCAGTTCTCTCTTGGTCACGGAGGGGTTGACCTGTTTTGTCCTTCTTGACTGATGTTTGTGCCTGGTGGTCAGCGGTGCGCTCTGACTTCAGATCTCGTTTTAATGGTGTTTTGTCTCTTTTAGGCTGTTCCTACAAGAGTGTGTGTGTGTAAGACAGTTGCTTAGTGTACTGGAGCTGCATGTGCTCAGGGTTATGTTCTCTATGCGCTCTGTCGCTCTGTAAGAACAGTACTACCCTTGTGTGGTTAGGGTTACATTCCCTGGGATGTAATTCAAGTTAGGAAGCTTCCCATCAGGGGGCTTCTTAACTTGAGGTGGTCTTCACCCTTGGGGTAAGCTGGCGGTCTTGGGCTTTCCATCCTGCCCTGGGTTTGGTTTATTTTTGGCTGGTGGGTTTCAAAGGTGTCCTCCTTCTCGTGTTTCTCCTTTGGAAGCTCGGGATGCACTTGGTGCTTACCTCCTGTATGACCTGGTTTACGCCTCGGTGATGGATTCGGCTCCTTTTGAGTTTGGCTCTTCTTTCCCTTACTGGGTGCGTTCCAAGGTTCCACATTCGTCCTTGCTAGTGGACTGTTCTTTGTTTGGCTTGGGACTTGGAGTGGCTTTTATTGGTATGCTTGAGAGGAGGGAGGTGTTCTCTATGTTGCAGGTGTTGTTGTGGAAGCTCTCTTGAGTCTCTCAACGAGTGCCTCTTCACCTGTCCTTCCCCGTGACGTGGGTCATATGCAGCTGCACACTCAGGTGCCCTTTCTTTCGGCTACCTTGGTGGCTGATAATCTTTGGACTCGCTCACATTTGGTCTCTGTTATGCAATTCTTTAGCCTCTTGGAGCTGCCTTTGGACTGGCTTTCGGTGGTCATGGAGACGCTTGGTGAGGGGCCTTCTGCCAGGGTCTTTGTCACGGCTGCTTCGGCGTTGTCTGCCCTGCTTCAGCTGTATGCTCCGATCCTCTGGGAGGTAGTTTTCATGTTCTTCACTACCAGTCTTGCGTGTTGGCAGGCTGTGCTGTCTCTTTCTTTGGATTCAGCTTGGGCCCTGGCTCTTCTTTTTTGCTTTTCCCTTTTTTCTTTGCTGTTTCCTGCGGTAAGTATTGTACTGTTTGTCAGCATCATCAAGTTCTATTCTGACATTTCGTGTGTCCGAGAGGAATGTTCTAGGCCTTCTCAGAATCGTTGGACCAGGGCTCAGGATGTATTATGTTGAGGAGGGCCCATGGTGTCAGTGGTTGTGTCGGCGGTGGTTGCATCAGAAACGTCTTCTTTGTCTGATTGGCGCTATGCTTGCTCTGCATGGAAGACTGCCTCTTGGGGTTCACATCGGCCCTTATTGTGGGTTGCCTCTTTAACAAGGCAATTGGGGGTGGGGGGAGGCTAGCTCTGTTTGCCCATGCTTAGTGGGCTTTTAGGGGTTGTGTACTGTGGCCTCAGGTGGCGTTGGGCGGCCCTTTCTCCTTTGGGTGGTTCAGATCTGGTGGGGCAGGCCTCTTCTCCTTCCATCCGTCGGGTCATCTTGGAGTGGTTTGTTTGGGTGTGGTCGAACCGGCCTCGTCTTTTTGGTTGGTTTTTGGTCCTTGTCCATCTCAAAACAGGAATGTGCAGATCTCTGGTTTATTCTGGACTTGTTTCACTTGTCTCTGTTGATTCCTTGCCCCTCCTTTCAAATGACCACATTGTCCCAGGTCAGGCTTGTCCTCAAGCCGGGCTCTTAGATGATTTTCCTGGACCTCTGGGACACTTTTTGGCGCATTCCCATACATCCGAGGTTCAGGGATTGGTTAGGTTTCTTGGTGGGGCAAAGCGCTCACCGCTTTTGAGCTCTTATGTTTGGGCTGAATATGGCACCTCACATTTTTGCGCACCTGACTCAGGTCATTGGCCCGTCTTTGTCTGGTAGAGCTTTGGGTCTTAGCCTACCTTGATGACTGGCTGGTGTGAGCTCCCAGCCAGTCGTCCCTGTGAATCAACAATTGATGATAACTATGTCTCTTGACGATTATGCCTAAGGGTTAAGTGGACCAGACTGATACTGGTCACCATTAGGCACTCATAAATCATTAAAGCCTAGAATACAACTGAAAGTTTGACAGGGTGCATGAGCAGTTCTGAGAGAAATCATGAGGGGGGGGCCCCTCCCAGAAAATCATGATTTATATGTAAGGCTGAATACAGTATAGCTGAAATTATATTTGTTTTATAAATGCAGAAGTTATAGATAATACAACTATACTCTGTACATTATATACAGCATTAGTTATATCTACTCACCAGCGGTTGACAGCACTTTACCGAAAGCATGTAATAAAAATTTAATATAAGTATGATATATATAAGAAATTTATTAATTAAATTATTTACTTTGCCATAAGCACATAGAATTGTAAGAAGACACATAGATACAGTATAATATGATGATGTTCTTATACATCATGTGTGTGTGTGTTATTATTTAAATACGTAAGTGTATTTACCTAAGTGTAGTTACAGGATAAGAGCTACGCTCATGGTGTCCCGTCTTCCCAGTACTCTTTGTCTTATAATGCTTTGAAACTACAGTACTGACAGTTTTGGCCTCCACCACCTTCTCACTTAACTTGTTCCGCCTACCATTCTGTTTCCAATGAAAACTTTCTAATAATTTTTCGTCACCATTGTTTCCTTAGCTTCAATCCGTGTCCTCTTGTTCTTGAGGTTGCTGGTTTCACAAGTTCCTCTTTGTCAATTTGGTCGATTCCTGTTATTATTTTCTAATATCACCTCTTTTTCTTCTATCTTCTAGTTTTGGCATATTTAATGTCTCTAGCCCCTCCTTGTAACTCTAGTTTTTCAGTTCCAGAAGCCATTTTTTCTCATCTTCAACTTGTTTACCCTCATCTTCATTTGTTTGTGCCCATAGTGTGCATAGTATATGACTTCATCTCCTGGTAAGTGAAGTTTTGTTTGTGCTAGGATTCATAACTATTGTGTTGGTGTGGCATCACCCAAAACACTAGGTGTACTTGTATGAAGTGATGGTGCAGACTTTGTTCTACAAATCTCTACATTTGATAAAACAGATGTTGGGGGTTACAGACCTTTTCCCATATATTGGTGAGGACACGAGGGAAAAAAATCAGCGTTGAATGCAATGAAACGCCATTTTCTGGGTGAGCCCTGGAGGCTCCCTGGAGCTTATCGGGCTAATGTATGTTATATTAGACTGGGACATTAGCTAAGGAGTTCAGACCTACCAGGGATCAATGACAGAACCTGGCCCCTTCAGAAAGGTTTCAGGGAGCAATGGCCCAGGAAAACCCCCTTGTGGTTGGGGGTTTTCCTTATCTGCCATCGACCGGAGTTTGCACCCAGAAAGGTAGGCATAACAAAACAAACCCCACATGATAAAAAACTAAAAGAAAAAAATGAACAGAGAGGTAGAAACTCCCTACAAGCCCAAGGAAACAAGCAAACAAGCAAACATCACACTTTACTGCTGCGCCGATCATCTGCGCAGCCCTCCCCACCCCGAGAAGGGGAAGGGGAGGGGGAGCCCCGGACCTACTGCGCCGGCTGCCAAGCACCAGTTCGGAAGCTAAGCTTCAACCAATGCAAAAAAAAACGCCGACCGGTGGGAGGGAGGGTTGCCAGGGAGCCTCTGGGGCTCACCCAGAAAATGGTGTTTCATTACATTCAATGCTGTTTTTTTGTTGGGAGCCCCTACCTTACCCCTGGAGCTTCATACCCAAAGAGAAGGAAAAGAAAGGGCTGACCCAGGAGGTGGCCGCCACAAACTCCGCAACGCGAAGCCGAGACAACAGGCTGCAACCTGCGACCCAAGGCAACAAGAACACACAGGAGCAGACGAGCATAAAGAATGGGCGGCCAAGAACCTGTGTGACCCTCAAATCCCTGAGCCCAAAATGAGCCCTAGACATCACCAACACAGCAGCAAAAGCTGCAAACATCTGAACAGCACGGGCGCAAGGACAGACCGCAGGCTGGAAGACTTAAAAACTCTGGGGACGACCTGGGAGACCCGAGCCCTGAAACAGGGAACGAGGGGAACCGGATCAACCCAAACTGCATCCCCAGACACGGTACGCAGGTAACGGCAAAAAAGCACAACTGGACAACACAGGACGAACCCCCGGCCGAACCAATCAAGCATCAATAACCCAAGAACCCCTCCAGAAAGCAGCCGTCTCGACCGTCGCCAGAAGGACGGAGAAAGGCTGCAAACGTACAAACCTACCACCAGTACCAAAGAGCAGAAACCTGAACCGAAGGGTCTACCACAAACTGAGAAGAGAAGAAGGAACCCTGATCAAGGACCAGGACGGATCAGGCGACGCATGAGCAGGCCGGAGGTGAAACAAAACACAAGAAAGCATAAGAAACGGGGCAGATGTGACGTCTATCCCGAATGCAAGCCGGAGCGGCTCTGCCAGCGCCGCACAAAACGAGGCGACAGTAAGAAACACCAAATAACTGTAGTCCTGAAAATCCAAGAAAGGACAAGACAACCTGATGCGAAAGAGAAGACAACCTACGAAGAGCAAGAAAAAACCAGTGTTGAATGTAATGAAACGCCATTTTCTGGGTGAGTCCCGGAGGCTCCCTGGAGCTATCCAGGCTGAATGGATATGTATAACTTTCTGGCATCAGTCAAAGTGCTAGGAGTTCTTGCCTACCGGGGACCACGAGCCAGAACCTGGCCCCCTCAGAGAGGCACGAGGAGCAATGGCCTATAGAAACCCCTTTGTGATTGGAAGCTTTCTATGTCTGCCATCGACTGGGACAGGCACCCAAAAAGGTAGGTGCCCCAAAACAAACCCCTATTCTGGTGAAATTATTGCTACCGAAAGCCGAACGAGTGGACAAAACTCCCCAAACAAAATTATCGAACTAGCATGACGTCATCACATCGCTGCGCCACCGTCTGCGCAACCCCCCCTCCCCGAGAGGGGAAAGGGGGAGCCCCAGACCCTCCACGCCGGCGATCCAACTGGATCTTGGCTGATGGTATTACTGGCTGGTCGAGTGCCTCTGGCTCCAGTTTTTGTTTCAGTTCTGTGCCTTGTGGTGTGGACTGTCTCTACCGGTGGGGTGTGAGCCAGGAGTAAGATTCCACGGTACTCGGGCTGCATGTGCCTAGGGTTATCTTCCCTAGGTGCCCTGTAAGTACTGCCCTTGGGGCTTGGGGCCACCTTCCACAAGTCACCTTGGGTTCTGCCTCCGCTGTGTCCTTTACTGCTCGGTACTGGGCCGCCCTTGGAGTTGGCTGGGGTTTTGTTGCCCTGGTTTGTCTCTGGGTAGGTGGTAGTTTTTCGTCACTGGTAGGGGCACGGGGTACTGCACAGCTAGTTTTCACCATTAACAGCTGCCGGCTCTGTTTCGCCTGGGTACGTTGTCCTCTTGCGGGGTTTTTCTTTTGTTTTTGTTTTTGCCTGGTGGGGGGGTAGCCTTTACTATGGTCCCCCTTTCCTGTTCTAGGTGAATTTCTTTTGAATTCTTCTGTTGGCAGTACTCCCCGCTTGGCCCCTGTGAGTGGACACGTCCCAGGGGTTCAGCTTTAGCAGTTTGTTGGTAGATTTGGGCGCCTGAAAACTCACCCCAGAAGTGACTCGAACCCATTCTGCCAGGAATTTTGTGTTCCTCATGTGTGCCCCAAAGAATGAGGTGATTTGATAAAATGCTATGCCCAAGATTACCATCCGAGTGCCGGCGGGGAAGTGGTTCAAATAGCTTCGGCTATCACTTCCTTTTGTCCGGTCGTAATGGTCAAGTGGATTAAGGCGTCCTGTACATACCAGTTGCGTTGCTCCTGGCAGAATGGGTTCGAGTCACTTCTGGGGTGTGAGTTTTCAGTTGTATATAGTCCTGGGGACCATTCAGGCTAATTCGCATATATATATATATATATATATATATATATATATATATATATATATATATATATATATATATATATATATATATATATATATATATATGTCGTACCTAGTAGCCAGAACGCACTTCTCAGCCTACTATGCAAGGCCCGATTTGCCTAATAAGCCAAGTTTTCCTGAATTAATATTTTTCTCTAATTTTTTTCTTATGAAATGATAAAGCTACCCATTTCATTAT